CAAGAGGGAAAGAAGAAAGCGAGACGAAAAAGGAGAGGAGAAGAAAAAAGGCTAAGGTGGTGGTGACGGGAGGATGGCGAACGGTCCAGACATTCATTCCCTCGGGATTGATAAGTCAAAGGATCCTTCCCCAACACAACACATTCAATCAACACCGTTCAGCTCGCGAAAAGATCTAGGGTTGACAACCGTGACAAATAGTGACCATCAAAACAGAAAATAAACGGAAAGGAAAACAATTTGAAAGTGGGGTGTTTCATACCAGCAGTAGATGGGTTTTGTTGGGGGTGGGAAAGATGAAGACGTTCTATGGTAATTGGCGCTACTTGGCACTTCGTACTTTGTCCCGTTAGTTGGAGGGGAAGCCAAAGAACAAGATGGAAGAGGACAGAGAAAGACGGCAAGAAAGTGAGAGACAGACAGACAGACAGACACTGGCGGGAAGAACAAGCAAGCAAGCCAGCAAGAGGGGAAAAGGAACCAGCACAAGCTCAGCTCCACCGGGCCCAGGCTATCGGGGGGAAGAATAGAGGAAGAGAGGAGAAATGCACCCAAGGCACCACCAGCTCAGGTCACAACCACGTCAAACACCGCATAAACTTTGGGACCCATCACTGTTGGTACACTAAATACTATCTTTCGAGTCAAGAAAAAATAAAAGAAAAAAGAAAGAAAGAAAGACACAGAAAAATAGATACTAAGTCCCTAACTAGTACTTTGCAGGATACATGCAGGAAAATGTCTCCAATTTTGGGGGGAAGAGGGAAGGGAGAGGGGGAAAGAATTCCGGACGATACAGGACTCGACTTATATAGTAGGTAGGTAGGTAGGTAGTAGTAGTAGTAGTAGTAAACTACTAACTACGGCTCCTACAGAGAAAACTAATTGACTAGTAACTGACAACCTACTCCTCCATCCTACAGGAAGACTCATCCAATGGTCCTCGTTCCCTCCCTCCCCCCATTCTTTCACAGGATTCCCGAGCACATCTAGTCTTACCCATTCAGGAGAGTCCCCGATCGTCGATGGACTGAGTCGAGAGGAATCCAATGCACAAGGGGGGGAGGAGGAGGGCCAGCGCCAGGAGGTGCATTAGATCCCACAGTAGTCTGTTGGGCTCCAGCTGCGAAGGTGTGTAGCTGAAGCAATAGGCATCGTTGACCAGAAGGAGTTACACCGCTGAGGTGGAGCCTTGTCTGCCTGCCCTAGTCAAAGTATTTTAGTTGGACTGGGAGTGGATTATTCTTAGAGGAAGGACTGAAGGAGACGTTACGGTTGGCTCTGGGTGAAGCTTAATCGGGTTGACTAGGGTAGATACCACCCGAGGGTGTCACTCCAAAAAGTTCGTTCGAGATCCAGACAGAATCCCGTTCCAGTTGTGGTGATGCTTCGGAAGGACCAACGTCAATGACGACACCTCTCCCCACGTTGCTTAGTCACTGGCCGCGCTAAAATGGGGAGTTTGGCGGATGGCAGGATTGTATATAAACTAAACCTCGATCAGAGAGCCAGACATCCAATACCTCCTACTCCCTGGTTGGGAGCAGTTTACGTGTACACTCCCTGTTCTCCTTCCTACGCTTCAGGGAATCGGTAGTCATTCACCCCTCCTTGTCTCCGGGGTGTAACCAAGAGGTGATTTATTACTATTTGCCTCGACAGTATCTATACGCACGGGTTGAGCCTACATCGGAGCGCTCCAATTTGAGCTCTGGAAATCCGGTCTGGAAATAGCCAGAGAAGAACCTGTTTGTTTCCTCCCCGTCTCCTTTAGTACGTTGGGCTCATCAATAGACATTCGAGGGTTCCACATTTACCCAAGCGATCTGCACGGATGTGCACAACGTCCGCGGAAACACACAAGGCAGAGCTTGATGTAGCCAGCGGTCAAATTTATCATGCTTGTCGCAAGCCGAGGCCTGCACTGCTGTAGACCTTTCCGCGGTGAAACATGGCCATTGGTAGCACAGATTCACAAACAGCGCAGACCGATTCTTTGGAGGGGAAAGAACAGCTTAGACTCTCACGGAACATGCAAGAGAACGGACACCCCGAGCATCGGACGAGGGGATCTAAACCCAGGCCATCGCACGCTCCCTCTCCTCCCTTTCTCCCTTTTAGTCACAAGCGCGCGAGAGGTCGCTGGTCGGGTGAACAGGTTTGCTCCAGCCGTTTCCCCAAAATCAAGAATTAAAGTGGGATGGTTGAGCTTCTAGAATCTCAAGAGGCTATGATAACCGGCCGTAGTATCGTTAAGCACCCCGAATGTTGTCCGGCCGCTGGCCAGAAGCCCGCCTAGGAAGGGCTAGCGCAGAATTCTGGCGAATGATTTTGCTCTCTCGTTGAAAACAGGACTTCTGCGAGAACCGGTTTTTGGGTCCTTGGATGACACATGCATGCCTGGCTATGCAGACGGTGCCTGCGAATCGGTCCCATGGTTCGATTCCGCTTACGCTAGTAGATCCGGCAGAAGCAGTAAACTGCATGCTCTACCCCTGGGGAAGATAGGGTTTAGCATGGGGTTCGATAACGGAATAGATGGACCTAAACAGGTTCCTTTCAGTTTGACCTTCGCCCCAATTCTTCGGCGTACAGCGAAATTCACGAGTTCAACGACGGCCGTCTCCACATTCCAACTGCTGGAACCTTCCGATCATGTGCCGGATTTGCAGTCAATTGCCGGGCCAGCTGACTAACCCACTCGCGTTCTGACTTTACGACGTCGCTTTCAATCTTACGGATCGTGTTCAGTTCCTCAACCATCATGCTGGCCATTTCTTCTAGCCCCTTGGCTGTCCGAAACAGCGCGGAGTCGCCCAAAGGACCCGGATCGCCATATCCAAGAATGTCCAGGCTCTGCAGTTGTCTCAGGCACAGTTCAAGCTTCATGACCAAAGCAGATGTCTCGTCCCGCCAACCATGGTTCAAGGGATCGACAAAAACTACCTGGTCCAAGTTGCGACCATGATGAAGACGGAATGTCCGTATCTCCTCAACTCTTTGAAACCAGGCTTCGAAATCCTGGACAGCCACTGTGTGCCGTCCTTCCAAGTTGTCAGAGAGATTGTAGACTTCCTCTGCTACTTGAGAAAGTATCCGTGTCTGCTCTGCAAACCCTCGTTGCTCATTGCGCTCACGCGTGTTCTCAAGCCAGTGATGCAACGCATGCCCGTTGAGCTGTCTCTGGTACTCTTTCTCATCGCCCAGGGCCGCTCGATAGTCGCTTGCCACTGAATTATAATCGCTCCGTAGTCGTGCTTCAACGGTAGTCTCCCATTCAATGTGTTGTTTGCACGAAGACAAGTGCAACAAGCTCAATTGTAAGAGTTCTGTTTGTAGCGCTGCAATCTCCGGCCAAGACGAAGGAAGTAACGAGGAATCTGCATCCACGGCGGGCGACTCTGCCGCTTGTGTTGCAGTCGTTGGCTTAGCCACCTTCTTTGGGGAGAGCGGTTGTTGGTAGGTCGAGAGCTGAGCCCGTGACCGTACAGTGGCGGAGGTAGGAAATGGCGAAGGAGGGTCAACTTTCCTCGGAGATTGAGGCCCCGAAGGTAGCCCGATTCCCTGGCTGCGATGCCGCGCATGACCTCTAGTCATGGATGGCGTGCTCGAGCTCGAGGCAGCAGGCTGTCTGAGAGAAGCCGACCGGGCAAGTCGCGGAGGCGGAGGCATATCGGTTTTCTTCGGGGACAAAGGCCGTCCATTTTGTCTCGCGGATGTCTCGATTTTCTTCGGCGATAAAGGTCGTCCATTCTGTCTGGAGGGTATCTCTTGTTTAATCGGCGATGACAGACTTGGAGCAACGGTAGGCCTTCTGGACGAGGTAGAGGTAGGCTTCAGAGGTGCCGAAGGCTTCAGCGGGCTCGGTCTGATCAGGCTTTGGCGACGGGTGATACCGGTATTCTCTTGAGCGGGCTGCTGCGATTGCGGGACCTTATCTGAAGGCTTGCTAGGCCGCTGGGATACGCGGGGCTCAGACGGTGGTTGTAGACGAGAGGATCTTGTCGCACGTCCCTCATCGCGAATAGGCAGGAGGCTCTTGCTCCGCGTCACGAGGTTCTCGGTGCTGGTCGCAGCGCTGGAAGATGTGCTGGTTGCTGATGTCGAAGTCGTTGATGCTGGCTTACCCGTCGTTGTTGTGCGCACTGTAGTAGAGTTCTTTTTTGATGATAACAGACGTCAGTAGTGTTAGTGGAGAGCAAAAGCATGCGAGGGATGGGTAGCTCTCATGGGCGCTAGGGGGAAGGGATGGTGGAATGGGCTACTAGCAGATGCGACACTAACTTGTTTGCGGGGCTCACGAAGCGAAAGGGAACGCGTTGGAATTGGCATGATTGCTGAAGATCAAAGCATATGTGTGACATTCGACTGATTGCAATCAGATCAGTCCAAGACGGGGCTTTGCCGGGGGGAATAGATACGCTGCCCGGAAACCGTCGTTGTAAATAGACGAGGCCTGAGCTCAGCTGAGGACGGCAGGTCCGTGGTTGCCCGTCTTGCGGTGAAGTTCCGCTTTCCCCCAGGGCAAAGCTTGGCACCGCGTCAGGTGGATCGAGCCCATCTGCATGGACAGCTATCATTCATTCATTCCCGATGCATGTCTACATCGATACTCCGGGCATAGGTGGAATTTCTTTCTACTATTTAGTAATAGAGATAGACAGCTCGAATACAACTTAAAAAGTCATCCTCATTCATTCAATTAAGACCTGTCTGTGATATCAGAAGGATAACGATAACACAAACTTTTGGCAAGTCTAAGAAGAAAACCTCCAACAGCTAGAAGATAAGAGGCAATGAACAATTCATCCAGCCTTGAACATACGTGGTCCTAAGCCGTCCCCCTTGCTCTGGTAATACAGGTGGTCGAATAATAGTAAAGCTCAGGGGGCCATTTTGAGATTAGTTGAATCCTTCCGTAGCCTCGCCATGACTCTCCGCCTCTTATCCTTGCCCCAGCCATCATATCAAATTGGTTTCGTACCATTCCCACTCATAAGTTACAGGCTTCCACGACGGGGGAAAGCGACTCCCTCCACGGCTGCATTATCGGTGAACCAGCTCACCTTCTCGCCACCACCCTGGTTGACGAGAGCGGAGGGTAGGTCTCTCCCCTCCTCAGCGTCAAAGATCTGCTTCATGATGTCCTTCTTTCCACCGCCAGTAGCGACAAAGGCGACGTTAAGGGCGTGAGTCACCACGGGCAAAGTCAGAGTAATGCGCTTCGGGGGCGGCTTAGGAGAGTCGCTGATGGCAGCCACCCAGGAATCCTTCTCCCGCAGCAATTCGTGTCCGGGGAAGAGACTGCAAGTGTGGCCGTCGGGGCCGCATCCCAGTAGGATCAGATCAAAAACGGGCAGCTTGACGCTATCCTTGGCGGCAAAGGAGCGCATCAGCTCTTCCTGGTACAGATCCGCCAGCTCCTGCGGGTCGTCATCGTTGACGTGATCGGCGTCGATCGTGTGCACGGTCGGGGCACCCAGTTCCGAGGGGATCTTGTTCAGTAGCTCTTCCTTCAGCAGGCGGTAGTTGCTGTCTTCGTGATCGAGGGGCACGGCGCGCTCATCGGCAAAAAAGATGTCCCACTTGGAGAACTGAGCGGTATCCTCGGGGGAGCCATTTCCAGGGGCCAGCAGAGCTTGGGCGAGGACTTTCGGAAGGGAGCCACCAGAGACTGCGACGCGGAATGTGCTGTGACGGCTGAGGGCCGAGTTCTGACACCGCAAGACGTAGGGCCTCAATTGCTGGGCCAAAGCGTCGTTGTTAGGGAAACTGTAGAGGTTGGGAGCAGATCCGGCCATTGTTACGGCTAGATAAGACGCGGGTGAGATGGGGGGGTGGGGAGAGAAGTAAGATGGGAAAATTCACGAGTTGGAAGAAGAGAAGAAAGGGTAGTATTCTCGGTCGCTGGTTACTTGGTAGTTGGTAGGTAGTTTAGTGGTGGTGGTGGTTTTCGGTCAACAGCTTCAGGCGGGGTGTGGCGGGGCAGCAGAGGAGACACTGGAAAGACTCCGTACCTGCCGAAAGCGAATCACAACCCGGGCGCAATCTGGGAACACGTTCCTGCGCCATCCACAAGCCAGTCCAGGAAACCCCCCATCATCATTATTATTGTTTTTCTCTTACAGCATCATGATGTGGATAGCATTATTGCCTGGGAGATAGGGAAAAGAAGGGAAAGAGGAGGGGGGGGCCACCCAATCTTCGTCAGAAAGACGCTAGTGACGGTCGCTTCCCATGGATTGACGAGTCACTGGTTACAATGTCGGGTTGTCAGTTGATACTGCGGTGTGTAGGACTAGATCATCTAGAATTGCGCGATGGTCAGTCGGGAAGAAAGATCTGGCAGTCCTAGACCCTAGCCATGACGTCGTTGTTGATGCCATCACCAAGGGAGGGGAAGGGAGGGAACTGGAAGGGAAGCTCCTTTGCAGGAACGAGTTTAATGGATTGTGACCCGCTCGATAAGAGAAGAGTTCCTATCTCGACTTCTCAGGCTCGGATATTCGGCGAGGTTCTCTCTCGCTCGTCTTATGCTCTCATCCCACCTCGGAAGCATTGAAGAGACGGGAATACTGAATAAACACCATTGTTCGTGAATTGCGAATTTTCCCTGTTTTGATGCCTCGTCGGTTCCTGGTCGTTCAATGGAGGGAAAGGGAACACGAAAGAGAAACCGATGCATGTGAGATGATGTCACCGTAACGTCTCGCTGTCTGTAGTGGGAGGAACTGGGAAGCTTCAACCTACTGACTTACAACTATCCACTTACTAACTAACTAGTTGGTACAGAATGCTGCTAACTAACTCATAAAATTACCGCTGCATTGTAACTAAAGTATTACCGATGATGATTGGCAGTGTTGGACCCTCGGCGGTTGAACACCACCACTCAAATGATGGGAAAGAAAGATACAAAGTAGATAGGACAAGTCGTAGGCACTGACGTTTTGGTCCTCGTGCATTACCGCCAACGGGGTGCGGACCGGATGCTCACGCGCGATTACACCATCCTGCAGATGCCAGAGAAGAATCCAGCAGTAGGATGACCTCCATAAGGCAATGCTGGCACCCGGTGACTGTCCTAAACTAGCGGTATCAGTGCATCGGTGCAGGTCGGCACCATCATATCGCAATGACCCTATTTTGCCCCGTAAGAGCCTGAAGAAGTTGTGGGAAAGCCCGGAAGTCAAGCAGATTATCCTCTGAATCGCTATGGAGACGAGAAGGGAAAAGCGGCACCGTTGAGAAAGAAAATAAAAAAAATACGTGTGCCTGACTTCCGCAACTCCCGTGGCCATCGTGACTATGGTATCAACCTCAATACATACATCGTTTCCATACGGCCAATGCATGGATCTGGGGTGATAGTTTTACGCACGGTAAAGTATGCAGGTCTACTTCCTTTTTCTGAGGCCGTGATTTCCAGTCCTAGAGTACGTCAAAAATTTCCATAGGCCATGACTCGTGGCTATGCCCGTTTGACAGAAAATGATGCATGGGCAAGGCATATCAGGTGACACGGACCTGCCGTGCATCCTTCCCTCTGCACCAGACGACCTGTCTTTTCCAGTCCCCGTATGCAGAATAGGAAGACTATAGGATGTGGCTACAGGATATACTGCTGCACCTGGAACAGCAGCCAGCATTTTCTTTTTGAAAGTGGGGTTGAAGAGGGGAATGAAGTACAGATGGGATGCTGTATGGATTGCTAGGTACAGCAAAGCGTTCCGGGATGGTGGTTGGTGGTTGGTGTTACCAAAATGAACATCCGACCTAAAGTCCATAGCTGTCATCATTTCCATTCTTGGCAATTAGCCGTGATGCTGGGATGAAAAGGCATCTAGTCTGTAGTTGCAGGGCCAGTGCGGATCGGCGAATTACCGGACACTACGAAGCAAGAGAGTGAGAGATCAACAAAAATAGCACAAGGATCCTACCCCGTACATAAGCAGAAAATGCCTCAAGGATCTCACGGCCCTCAGAATGCACACGCACGAAGGAAAAAGGAGTCAAGCATCTGCGGTGCTCGACACCGCAGGCATGGATCTCAGGCCAACTAGCTCACTCCGTCCCCTCCCCCAATAATGCATGGCAGGGTAGGGGAACGGGAGTAGGGATTCGGATTTTCGGCTGGGTTTCCTTTTCCCCACTGTGAAGGACGAAGAAATCGACTGCAGCTAGCTCGCTAGCCACACTTACCAAGACAAGCCGGCTTTGGCTGGGTTCCCAAGCGCAACTCGAGATACGAAATGAATCAGGTATTTTTGGTCCAGCAGACAGCCTGCTGAGGGAAAAAAATGGATCAGACCATCCGCTAGCCCCCGGGGTGCAGCAACGACAACGCCGGCGCAGAGTGAGAGCACGGAAACGGGTTCCGTTGAAAGCCGAATGACGGGCGATCAAGGAATGTCCACTGCGCCCGGATGGATAAGTCAGGATAGTGGTGCTGCTACTGGATAGTTAGGCAGCTGGGAAAGGCCCGAGCCGGTAGAACATTCCTATGGTCCGTATATGCCTACGCCGATATTGCATCAGGAGGTATGAAACTGTCCAAATGCCTTAAACCGGACAGCATGGATCGACTGCCCGATAAAACCTGCGAGGAATGATGGACATGGCATGGCGACTGGAGGGGGGATCCTTTCAATGTCTGACAGAAGAGTCTGAAACGCCCGGGGTGGAGCCCGTAACCGCCTCGCGAGTCACGGTATGCAACACAGCCGCAGGTCTTTGCACGAGGCTGAGGTAATATTGGCAAATGATGGGTTCATGCCTGACCTTTGTACGGAATACTTTGATGGTAATTTGACCAAAAGGAACTTTTTTGAATGATGAATAATCGACAGGGTTCTGGTTGTCATGGAGAGATCATGATGATGATAGCTACGATCCATGGTCTACCAATCGCAGACTGCAATCGAGCAGCTGAGGCTAACTCTTCCGGAAACATGACCATGGTAGATTCCTGGTAGCGCCGTACTTCCGACAGCCTGGGAGACCCGTAGAATGGTATCATGGTTCGCCCACTCAGCAGCGTGTTTGGGACTGACACTTGTTCAATGGAGGTTTAGTTGGGTTCAGTAGTGACAGGCAGCCACTGAAAGACATGAAATAGGGCAAAAAAAGGCACCAGGGCACCAGGGTACCCCATGCTCCGCCAAGGTGAAATGGTCCACTTAATATTCTCATTCTCATTTTTCACCATTTTCATATGCCCCTCGCAAGAATTCCAATAGACCCATATCTCGTGCGTTGGACTGACTTAGCATGACTAAGGCACAAAAGATAGTGGGAACGGAACGGTGGAGGTGGTGGAGGTGACCAGCGAGGGCGAACCGATACGCCGATTACCGGCCCTTCGGGCTCTCATTTGTCGAACCACAAGTACAGCAAGGCCACGAGTGTTCCTGAGGGAAGAGGAGAATGGCAGATCGAAACCAGTACCCAACACTAACAGTCCAGGCGATCGCCCCGGACGACTCCATCCACCAGGATCAGTCATGACGACACGACCCTCGGCTTTGGGAGCGAAGCACCAACGAGAGGAGATACAACGACGATGTGCGGACGAGGGGTGGTTGACGCAGCCAAACCAAGCCTCGCTGGCCTGCATGTGAGGTAGAAGGCAAGCAAGCGTAAGTAAAAGTACAGTTATGTTATAGGTTGATGATTATCTAGTAATTAGGTCAGTCAGTCAGTCCGGTGGCAGCTGCACTTTTAACAGAGCAAGAATATAACCAGAACCCTAGCACTACATACGTAAGTAGTGGCTTGTAATCTATGCAGGATACTGGCATTGCTTGAAAAGTGACCGACAGGACAGTTCAAAGTCAAAATTAAAAAGAGAATTATAATAAAAAGACAATGAATTAAGATCACATCATTATTGTCGACCGATCTCTAATCGATCGACTCTACTGGTCCCCGAAGAACCATAATGCGACCGGGGAGGGCAGGAAACTCAAGGCAGGAAAAGGAAACGGTCAGTCAACGCACCAGTGGATGGTGTCGGTAACCGTCTGGTAACTTCCAGCATGCCCTGGTACCTCCAGACGACCCGGAACTAAAATTACGGGCAGCCTGTGAGACAAACCCGACCAGAGCAGAACAGGACAGGACAGGACAAGACAAGACAAGACAAGACCACACTCAACTTTCCCCCTCAACAGGTTCAAGTCATAAGAATCGGCCACCTCTCATGTCATGGCATGTCGTCGTTCTACACACACAACCTGAGACCAGGATATTAACATCGTCATTCCATCGCAGAGGAATCCGGCCTACATACATGAAGGACTGATCCTCGCCTTCCCTCCCCCTCCATCTCTTCATGGTTGACATCCTCCAGATTCAACTCTGAAACTGGCATCCACATTCCGTGCAGCAGCAGCAGCAGCTTTCTCACAAGAACTATCGGCTGCCTTATCCCTCAATCGGTATTGATTGCTAGCCTCATTCTTATTATTAGTCTCTTGAAGCTCGACCGTCCCCCTGTCTTGGGTCGATTTTATTTTTAAAAGAGAGACATAAAAAAAAAACTACTGTTTTATAATTTTTCTTTCTCATTTTCGTTTATTTATCATTTTATTATTTTTATTTTTTTTTCTGCCCTCCCTCCAAACGCCGCCTCCTCCTTTCCCCTGTGCCTCGTCAGAAAATAATATAAAGGACTATTATTTTACCCAACTAGCTCAGGCCGGTGCAAAACAGGCGCGGAAAAAAGTGGATCGATCTGACCCTGAGCACTTCGCTTGGCGCTGGGCTCTGGTAGTATAGATACCTTCCAGTCACTACTTCC